AATCACCATACAAAATATTGCAATTAAATCAATTATTAATTGTAGCATAAATACGCATTAACCAGGAAATACCGCCGTACGTCGATAAGTAAAGAGCTTTCGTCAAAAAAATAAACTTAATTATTAAAAACCATTTTCTTAGCATATTTAGTTTCTTACAAACCTATTTTACTTTTCCACATAATTGCTATTTACTTCTACTTTTCGTACCGCTGCACCAGTTTCATTCACCTCTCTCCATAGAAGTTCTTCGTCTGAAAGTTGAACCAATTGACAACGGCGTTCTTGAGTTCCATATCGTATGTCCACCGAATTATTATTTGAAATTCACGAAGAAAAAGTAGTCACTAGGTGCAAGGTCGAGACTGTACGATGGATAATTAAAAATGTCCTAACGAAAATATTAAAATTTCTCCATGACTTTGACAGCGGTGTGAGGACGCGCGTTGTCGTGGAGGAGAATATTACTCGTGTATTACCCATGTATGACAATGTTCAACTTAAATTATTATTCTCACTTATTAGACAATATATTTTAGATATTTACCTACATAACAATTATTGATTAATGATTATTGTTCAATCATAACCCCAGCTTAAAATAAACAACTATAGAAACTATATAACTTATGGGCTTGCGTTAATGTACAATAGGTACCTACAACACAAATTGTGCTGCAGTTCTAAAATAAAATGTGTAGTTATAAAACGCTGATTGTGCAGTAACTACTGCTACTAATTATAGCATTTAAAAAAAATAACTAATATACTATATAATGCTGTACCAAAACAATTTGTATTAAAGTTATAATTCATAATAATCAAATATTATATTATATTATCATAATATTATGATACAACCATGAACCAATGTGGATTGTAATATTTTCTACGTTATGGATTGACCCATAATAATGATAATAATAAAATGTGTATACAAGCTAAGTTCAGGTACCTACTTGTGCAGTTATAAAATGTTCAACGCAAACACTGACTTACTCAGGTAAGCAACAAATATATTTAGAATACGAGCAACAAGCTGTCTAGATGGAGAACATGAATATGAAACGTAACTATATAAAACTCTATTAAGTGTCGCGCTCTACCGGTGTACTAGACTCATTTTTATAGTAGAATAGCAGATACTTTAATATTAGGACTATATTATTAATAAAAGGCAATTTTTGTGTATGTAATGCATGTATGTTATGAATTTATGATTTATGAAGGCTGCCACTACGCAGTTACAAAATAAGCAACCAATTACTAGTGGTTACTAGTTTAAACAGTGGTACTGGTATAAAAATGACAAATTTCAAATATCCCATGATAGTATAAAACATTTTTTTCTTATGAACAACGTGATAAACCTAAAATTTATTTTCAAACTAAATTACTTTTTTATACTTTTATATGTAGCGATTAGATCCCTTAAAGAAATATTTCAACAAGTGCATCATAACTACAGTGATAATTCCAAGTTTTTATAATATGACATAAATAATTTAAATATGACATTATGAAACATCATACAGATACTAATGTTAACAAGTAGACATTGATACAATAGAAGTGATGAATAAGTTTGTAACAGAATTTAAAATAAACAAATTTAAGAATTATGAACTCTGTAAATAATTGTAACATCAATCCGTTTTGTTTCCTTTCATTAATTTAAAAATCATGTTTCAGTTAATTTATTTAGGCATATAAATTGATACACCTATAATATTATTAATATTTTGTTTATTTTTATTAAATTTATCAGGTATTTTCACTAAACGTTTATATTTTTATTTTTAACATACGATGAAATTTTCAAAATATCTTAACTCTTTTTAAACTATTTATAGGCATGACAAATTTTAAATTTTTTAAATTTATTTTTCCATAATAGTTAATTAAAAATTATTCATTTGGTCAAAATTTTTAAAAATTTAATGCAAGATCTAATATAAATTGTTCTTAAATTTGTAAAAAAATATTAAAAATACATAAGCACAATATTGTTATTAATTATAGATGTTTGAAGATAGAATATAAACAAGATTGCATATTATTTAAACGATAATAATAACGACGTTAAATATTTTGTTTTAATTCAAATACATTATTGGTGGGGACTTAAAACTTTTATATATATTATGAATTTTATTATATATACGTAATGACATCTTCAAAATATGTAGTTTAATTTTAAGTTATTATATATTTTTAGTATGAACTTATTTCATACTGTTTTACAGTATTACAGTATATGATATTATTAACTAAAAATCTATTAATAGTAATATATATAAAATATAAATATAAATTCTTATAATGATTAAACACTAGTTAAATAATAAATGCAATATTTTCGGAAAAAATTATTTCAACCTACAGTACCTAATACTTGAAGTAAAATTTATAACTTTCATAACTATATAAAAAACATATCGTGAAGTATGCTGACAGACTGCCTCGGCTTAAAATTGTTTATAACGTAAGTATACAATTATGATGTATCATTGAATTAAAATGAACACATCCATTACATTAATTAATGAAAAAAACTGAATATTACTTTAATTATATACTAGGAAATTATATTATAAAGATAGTTCATTTCCACCAATAATGTGGATTGAATATACTACACCAAGTTCAACAGTTGCTTCTATTCCACACATCCAAATATATTTTAATTCATCAGAGTTTGAAAGAAACTTAAATTGAAACATATGTAAAATTACAAATTTTAGAACTTTAAGTCTAACAATAAGAAAACATTTATAAAAACAAAAATATACAAATATAAAAATAATGAAATTAATAGATTAGAATTAAAAAAAAAAAAAAGGTTTTTATACATTTTTAACTAAATAATACATAGAACTTACAAAAAAAAAAAAAAAAATGAACGAATTTAAAAAAATTATATCATGTTTATTATTATTTATTTTAGGTTTTTAATTAAAAATAAAAATGACATTTATGACAAAAGACACATTTTTTAACAACCTAGAAACCAATTCGACGTTTCGATTATTATTATCGTCGGTCAAGATATTACCACCGTAAAACAATACGAGTATATATCTATGCATATACTCGTATGGTAATAATAATGGTGACTATATGATATATATATATATTTTTTTTATAGTAACAAACACCGCCTACGTCACCATTATTTTCACAAAATTAAGGCGCTAATTCGTCTGAGACAGAAATATGGAGTTATTCGAATGCACCCTGCCGAATTACCATCAATATTCAATAACTCTGATTAGCAAACGTGAGCCTCTTCATCGCAAAGACTTTGATGAGATAGCACCGTGATGTTGCGGCCGCCGTGGTTGTTTTAGTTACGACGTCGCAGAAATTGCCACCACTAAGTCGGTTTGGATCGGACCAATTCGTTTAGAAAACCGACCATAACTACAACAACGAGAGCTTGCATTACAGTGGTTCCCAATTCATCGTCGTCCGTGATTGTCGATAGGCCGTAGTTTCATTTATTCAAATAAGTTTTTTTTAACGAATTTCCAAGTAAATATATTTTTTTAAATTTTTAAAATTACAAAATACGTACATTTTAATATATTACATGGTTGGTATTAAATAAATTCTAAAATTATTAGAATTATTCACAAAAATCATCCTTTGATTTATTTGAACAGACCATAATAATGAATTAAGACGTAACTTGGAAAATAAACCCAGGACAGTGGTGCAGCTGAATAGCCTATCCAGTGCGCCGTTTCATCATTATAGCATTATCATAATATTAATATTCATAAGATACATCTGTATCAAATGTACAGAATATACGGTAAACTGTATGTTATATCTAACAAAGATTACCAAAATAGCTAAATAAGATATCAGGTAATTAATTTAAATTTTATCTAGGTTATTTTATAGATAAAACATTACATTAACATACCTAAATAATAAATAAGAGATGATCAAATTTATCTAAATAAAAAACAGATAATTTAAAACTTGTATTAATAAAATAGTATTTTATGCTATAAATATACCTTAAGTATATTCATATTAATTTTAATTTAAACACTTCTAAATAAAATTGCGTTCAAAAATATAAATACAATTACCCATCAGTAAGATTTCCTATGTATTTTAATGTTTTCTATGGACAAGATTCGTACATTTAAAATAATTTTACTAATCACTTATGGGCTAAGATGACAATTTTATGGTTAAAAAACTCCAAACCTAACCCAACCCTTCCTCCTGCAATTAAAAACTACCATCCCAAAAACATAATATTATTTAATCATCTATGTATGCACTAGTATTAGTCACATTCAAAACTAACTTTAGCCATCAATAAATTAACAATTATTTATAGTCAGGAATCTTAGTATTATATGCTTGATTACAAGATAATAATAATAAATACCTGTTTAGTATTAAGTCCTCAACAGATCCTATACTACATGCATTAGGATAAAAAATTCTAGCAGGCAGAAAGTTGATATCAATTTAAAGTTAATCTAAAGAATTATTGATGGTTCACATTATGATGCACCCACTTTCCTACGCTGTACTCCTGTACACATTTCTGAGTTAAATTCAAATTTAACATATTCATTACATAGACATAGTACTACACAGCAGAATGATTTCCAGTAAATTTTACTTCAATAATCAAAACTTTTGATAAACTATCTAATTTAACATATTTTTAAAATTATTTAGATATAATACATAATATTATGTATTATTTTTAGTGTACATATACAATACATATTATCTGAACTAAAATATAATTACTAACATAATAACAAAGAATGCATAATTTCAACAGAAAGCTTAGTCACTATTAAAGAAATAATACTATTCACAAAAGATTTTTTTAAATTTATTATTTCATTGTATTGTGTAACTTCAATGTTACAATACTATAAAATTATAAAAAAAAACTTCTTATATTCATTAAATAACTTATAATTAATAAAATAATTGGAATAATATAAACCACATATAAACAAATGTATTAACAATTCTAACTGAAGATACCTACATTTTAAAGAAATATCAGAACATTTCATAGTATTTTAATATCAGGGAAAGGTATATCTTCACAGACTTCATCCGTGTTGGGGCTCAAAGATTTATCTTTAAATTTTCTGTCAACCATTGATTTTAATTTTTTTTTAGGTGATAAAAGAATAGGTGTAATTCTTTTTTTACCACCAATAATATTGATTTTTTGTCCTTCCTTAGCTATGTCCATTACTAGTGGTTTTGTGCTCTCTATAGTGTTGAAAAGATTTTTTGGAATAAAAACATCTTTCTTAGATTCCGTCACATTTTGATTCATTTCATCACACGGCCTATTTTATTAATAAAAATGAAAAGTAACTTTAATTTTGTAAAAATGAAGGAAAAAATTATGAGAATAAAAAATTACTTTTCCGATAAATTGGCTTTTGCTTTTTGATTTTGAGGTGTCATAAAACTGGTTATTTTTTTAACAGAAGAATTTGATTTTTGAATTTCATTTTCTAAATTAATAGGATATTCAACTCCATATTTTTCAAAGTTTTCTTTACTCACAAACCTATATAAAAATAACATAAATTTTTTTTTTTTAATAATTTAGCAATAATTGTATTACCATGGAGCAACATTTGTAGATTTTGTTGCAATAGATTTTATAGTTTTCTTAACAGTTGATAAAGAAATAGAGTTATCATCATCAATATTTCGGCCATTTTTGACCAGTTCATCAATAAAATTCTTAACAGCCAATTTCATACCGTTTGTATTACCATGTATAAATGTAATTAAATCCGGGATAACTAAAATAAAATACAAAAATCTATTAGTAAATTATGTTAAAAAGTAAATAATATATAATCATATAATTGAAGAAATGTTTTTGTTTTAAGTTAACTTGATTTTATAATTAATTAAGAGATATAAACAATTATTTTTAAAAATAACTCATAAATATTTCAAATATTATATAAATTAATCATTCAGTCTTTATAATACAATAAACATGCTCAACCAAAATAAATAATTGAAAACTCTGGTAATTGAATTTCTAAGACTTCTAAAATTTTAAACTGTTTTACTAATATTTAATTTTGAAAATAATTTTTTAATAAATTTTTTGTTTTTAAACTTGACAAAAAGAAATATTATAAAATAATATTAATGACCACAAATATTTTATAATTTATTTTGACAATATTAGTAACAGTACTTGAATCAGGAAGTATTTTAGTCTTTTTAGTTTCAGTAGCAGTTAAGTCCTTAGATGAGTCTACTTTGATCACTTCTTTTGTTATGATAGGTTCATTCTCTTCCCAAACACAACGATATTTTAGTAACGTATCAGCTACTAATTTATTCACTAAAAAAAATAGTAAATAACCAAGAATTAAAAAATAACTAAACATATTTCAATAGTTTACCATTTATAGAGTTAGTAACATTATTTGGTATCCATATACAACCAACTAGCTTTGGCTTAATACGTTCTGTTCTTTTATTGATTTCAGCTTTAAATTCTTCTCCAAGGAGCTTTAGTTTTTCTTGTTGTACTTCTTCAGTCTTCAAAACAATAAAAAGTGTTAGCATGTCAATTTTTTTAAATAAAACAAAAATAATTGCATACTAACATCACTGTCATTATCTTGACCTTCTTCATCACTTAAATATCCATGTGGAACAAAAACATCATTATCAACTTCATAATCATCTTCAGGTTCGTCCTCATTATCTGTACCATTTATACTCTCACCAGGATCTTCTTCTTCCCACTCTTCATCAGAATTATTATCATAGTCAAACATCATCTTAGTGAAATTAAATTCAAAAATAACAAAATTAAATAAATGTGTGTAAAAAATAAGTAATACTTCATACTTTATCACATGCAAACGGTCTTCTTGGTTTTACATAAAGACTTTTTTTTCTCCATGTTCCCCAATAAGGAGGACGTCTGTTTTCATTAAATTGTAACAGTTTCCAATGGAATTTTTGAGAATTTTTTTTAATAGTATCAACTTTATCCACATCTTCATTATTTGTTGAACCAGTTCCTAAATTAAGTTTGATAAATTACAAAATTATTTTTTTTATTTAATTATAGTATTAAGACATATTGGTGCTGGTCTGTTATCTATGCCATAGTAACTTGCCATAGCTTATAAAAATTGTATCGTCCCATCGCAGTACCGTTAATAAATATTATTAAGGATCCCTTCAAAAAACTTTGGTCACCACATAAACTCTGAGAAATAGATCAAGTAAAGGATATTTTGTGCACTATCTTGATGATATCATTTGTTCCTCCATTTTGAACAAACTATATTCTCTTCAATGTTGTGAGTGAACTCCAAAGATAGGGTCCACAAAATTAAACACAGTTTATTTGACTATGATAGCTTACCTTTTAAATATTACTGTGCTATTTTTAGTAGTTTAAAAATATTATTCATCAAACACAACGAGGCGATAACAGACCAGAACTATATTTAATTTAATATCATAATAAATACATAAATTCATTGCTCCACTCTGAATCTAAATTTATTTTAATTAATTAGGAAAATTTTTTAACCATAATCAATATTATTATGATAGAGCAGATATCTAGAGAATTAAATAAGCATAATTTAATTAAAAATATGTATGTCTTTAGTTATGTATAAATTAACACAAAATACATACCTATAATAATGACGTCTGTATCATCTTCAACTTGAATAGGCCAAGTTGCATCTGATTTAGAAGGCTTATATTTTCCAGTTTTTAATAAACTTAGATACAATAAGTCTTTATTTTGTTCACAGTGACTAATACATTTATCCACATTTTTTTTTTTATCAATATTTAAATATGCTCTTTGTATTGGTGCTATTTTCATGTCATTCTTAGTCTATACAATTTAATAAAAATATATTTAACTATATCTTTAAATAGTATATTATATAGTACATTACATTTATAAAATGACTGTAATATCACCATAAAATAATACATACATAATAAATAAAATATTAGATATTACCTGGAAAGGCTTAAAGTAAGCTTTTGGTTCTTGATTAAATATGTCATCATCCTTTTTAGAAATTTCTAAATTCAAGTTTTTTGGTTTAAAAAACCCAACAAAAGCAGCTTTAACCTTTTCTTTTTTTTTCTTTTCCATCTCTTCTTTTTCTCTTAGTTTTATTTTTTCCAAATCTTTAGCCTTCTTTTCTTCTTCTTTTTGTTTTCTTTCTAGTTCTTTTTCTAACTCTTTGGCTTTTTTTTCTTCTTCTTTTTTTTTTCTCTCTAGTTCTTTTTCTAACTCTTTGGCTTTTTTTTCTTCTTCTTTTTGTTTTTTTTCTAACTCACGTAGTCGTTTAGCTCTAAAAATTATAACATATTATATTTTATAAATACAAAACACATATTTTTTAATATATTTATCATATTATTCATACTCAATTTCAGCATTTTTTTTTTGTTCTTTTAAACGTTGCTTTTCAGCTTGTTCTTTGAGTTTTTCTTCTCGAGCTTTTAATTTTTCCTATTAGGAGTTAACATTGTTCTCAAATATTAAAAATACAATACAATATCTTACTTAGGAAGTAATATATAGTATAAAACTTACCTGTTTTATTCTTTCTCTTTCTTCATTTCTTTTTGCTGATTCTTGTCTTTTCAATATTTGTTGTGGTGTAAGCTTCTTTGCAGGTGGTGTAGTATTTTCTAATATTTCAATACCAGAAGTTGAATCAACTGATACATTATTACAAGCAATATCTGTATCTGATGATGTAGAAATAGTATCAACATCTTTAATATTTTCTTCAATTTTTGGATTATCCACATCATTTATTTCTTCATTCACTTTCTCATTTATGTTTTCTGACTTAATTAAAACTAAACTAATAGATTCTTTAGTACCCATATCATCTTCATTTAATTCCTATAATAAAATAAAAATAATAGATTATCTTTGATATTATGTATATTGGAAAGCAATTTGAAATATATCTAAGAAAAAAAATGGTTAAAATAGTTAATAAGTAATAACTAATAGATTTATAGTTAATAATTTAACTAAAAATTAATTTTTGTAATAAAATAGGTAACTTACTTTTAATTATATATCATATAAAAATTTATGTATTTTAGATAAAGAAATATAATAACTATACCATTATTTATAAATTATAATTAAGATTAGATTATTAAAACTGTTAAATAATCTATAATATATTATAAAGATTTTTTTAAAACATACAAATTATAGATACCTAATTATTAAATAAATTTTGAAAAACATAATAATATATTTATCTGGTTTAAAATAACAGTATATATATATATATATATATATATATATATATATATATATAAATAATTGTATACAGTCCAAATAATAGGTAAAAAATTTAAAATAATAAGAAAAGTCTATACACAGCTATAGTAAATAATGTTATTGAGTATAATCATTACCTCAGTTATTTTTTTATCTTCATTTTCAGATTTAATAAAACACTTGGTCCCTCCATTGAGCAGTTCAACCTTAGGATTTTCAACTCGTGTTTCGCAATTTTCAGAGCCACTAAGTTTCCGTTTACGACATTTAGAATTAGCATCGTCGCCAGGTGAATTTACTAACTTGAACGGTAGACACTTCTGAACCAACTTCTTGGCAGACTTTTCGACAGCTTTGCTGCTGGACATGATTATCTGGACGAACTATGAAAATCAAAAAATTTTCTAGTATTATTTTTATTAATAATACGTGCAACGTCAATGATTTAGAAATACAAAACTTAATGACAAGAAACTCACTTGGAAAACAAAAAACAAAATAAAATAAAATATGAATTACTTGTATTTTTGTATTTATTGCACCAATTTTTAGAACACGGTAGTACTTTATCATACAGAATAAAATATAATACAAACAGAATCAAAATACGACACACCTTAAATAGTTGAATACAAAATACAGAAATATAGAATATTTAGTAGAATTGTTCAATCGTAATTTTTTGTCTGTTTAGTATTTACCTTATCGGGACTCAGAATTGTTTAACCTAACAACACATTGTATTGTTGAGTAAAAAAGGCGCGAAATTATCATCTCGTCTTGGAATACAACATAGTCATAATTAGTTCTTAATTTTTTTTATCCATGACATTAATAAAACGCGGAATTATTTTATTATACTCACCTTATTATTATGTAGTTCATAAAAATGTTTTAATATGTTAAATTTTCATAGTTATTGTACAGTGTAAACCAAAAGCGTTATTAATTATTACTCATTTGATATGAGAGGTGGAAATTATTCTCAATCTAATTATGAAAATCTAAAGTAGGTAAAAAAAAAAAATATGCTTATTTATTTTTATAACTAAATATATTTTATTATTTGTTGGCTGCCAGGAAATTAATAAGCAGGTTTTCGTAAAGATACAGAGATCAGACGATTTACTGAAAATTATTTTAGCGATAATAATAATGTATTAAACTTTTCTAATGGTTTAATGTTTACTAAATATTTTCTCCTATAATTAATTTATTTTTTCTAAATATGATTAAAAATCTGAGATTTGAAATGTTAATCCAAATAATTATTTAATAACAAATAACAATTATTGCTTTTTTCATTAAAATACTGCACTGAAATTACACCTATATTGTAGTTTATTATATACAATATAAAAGTAGGTACCTACATATTTTATGTATTAGGTAATGTACCATCGTACATTTAAGTTTTAAATATTTAGTAATAATAATATTTATCATATTTATGTTATATAACTACGATGGAGAATTATTTACACTTTATTAAATATAGACCAATACCATGTTACTGAAGTAGTTTATTTTTCACTGTAGTCAATACCTACATAATCGCCTGTAATAAATTTTAAGATATTATAATATCATTGCTAACCAAAATTATGAACCATCAAAATTCAAAGTGAACTCTATATTTGTTGATTGTAGTCAATACCAGCGATCAGGAGAATGTTAACGATTTCGAGACGTTAATATTACTTATGCGGTAACTTATGTGGACATTTTCATTTATATTTTTGATTATAAAAATTAAAAATTAATTTATATAAAATATCTAGCAATATACCTATAAAATATCAGGCCTGTTAATTTATTAAATAGTAAACTAAACAAAAAATAAAATTAACTATTTTTGTCATTTATTGTTAACACATTTACCATGTATCTGTAATTTAATAAATTAATGTTAAATAACCTGCAACTGTCGTCGGTTAATTTATGCGTAGATTTTCTGAAAAATTATGGACTACTAGAGTAGGTATTAGCAACGTTATGTGTTTATTTAATTGTTGATTTAATTTTGATCACTCTAGCAATATTTTCGGTTATTTTTTTCTAGTTATGTCTGAAGTAAATTTGAAATTTCTCTATATTATTGGAATATATGGTTGATTCGAAAATATTCGAATAAATATTTCTCTTATGCGAGCAACATATTTAAAAACAAAAAGGAGGGACTCGGTTACTGCAAATACAAGATATTTTAATAAAGGGAAGCTAAGTACCAATAGATAATAAAAATTTAAAACAATTTATGGACATTTTTGTGGGGAGGGGGGGGGGAGAAACATAAGACTGTGATAGATAAAATATACATAATTAGTGGTGAATTAGATAAGTGACTGAATATTTATGTTACAAATATATATCTGCAGTCACCGATAAAAATTTATTTATTAGATTGTATTACTACAAAGCATTTTAAAAATTATAAGTTTAGTTTATATATATATATGAATAATATATAGTATGTATAAATCAAAAATTGAGTTGGAACAATTAGGAATAATTTCAAAACATTTTAAAAAAATTAATTGTTTTATTTTTTAACCAACTACCAAATATTGGTAAAAAAAAATCCATAAATAGTTATTCATTTGCGTCGATCTTATACATGTACGAAATATACATAAAATTTCATAAAAATAGAACAAAATTAATTTTAATATTTAACGTATTTAAATTTAATAAATCCGATCACGGCAAAATATTTGTTGTCTACTTTCTCTCCCACCATGATGCACCAAATATGTTGTTACAAGATTTGCAACAATTTAGAGGTAAAATATTATCTCTCGAAGTGTTTGTTACCAAGTTGATTCTAATTAATTAATTATACCACTAATGATTCGGTTTGTTTATGAAACTATACAAATTAACTATACAAAATTTCATTACAGCAATATAGAAGTAAAAATATGAAAATTTAAAAAAACAATTAATTCATAATGCAATATTATGATTTTTTAAATAATTTATAATTTAAAGGCAACAAAAACATCAAACAATACTTGTTTTTAAAATTAGGCAAAAAAAAATTAATAAATAAAATCAATAACTTATAAAGTAAATTAATTACTTACAAATGATTAGTCATCAATGTAAAATATTTGAATACAAAATTTAAAGAATTATGATACATACAATAATTCTAAACAACCATATGGAGTTCTTTGGCAGTTTTGAACCCCCCCTCCCAAAAAAAAAAAAAAATATATGTGTAGTTAAAAATAAAGCTTTTAAAATTATTTCTGTACAATAAATTTCATCTAATTCAAGAGAAATATTTAACTACTAAAAAAAAAAAGTTCATATTAAAATTCACACAATTCAAAAATAAGTCCAAAACAGGGAAATATTGGACAATACTTTTTTTTGTTGTAAATTACATCATAATCATTATTATTTACAATATAATTATTATTTAATATACCGTATTATTAGTTAAATAGACTTGTGTACAATGCAGTTTAATCATATCAAAAAAAGGTAAAATATATTTATTTTTAGAGTTCTGATACTACTAATGTAATCAGTTTTAATCAAATAAATAAAATTTTACATTATATTTAAATATAAATATATAAATTTATGTGTGTATTATAAATTATAGATTAAATTTACTAAGTTATAAGTTCTTGTAATTTTTTCACAGTAGTTTCATTCAAAGCACAGAGGTCAAAATCAAAAGTTTTTGTAGTTATTTCATAATGACCTGTTTCGGCTATTACAGTGACTACCCTTTGAAGATCTTCATCTTCTAACATCATTATTTTGTGTTGAAGATGCTTTAAAGAGTTTATATATTCATCTGTAAATTTGTTGTTACTGTGTGACGGTGATGGCGATCTTGAAATGTCTGAACACGTTTCTTGTACATGTTCGGAAATGTCCAGTCGGCTAGTTTTAGGTTTTGTTTCTTCTGTGTCCCGTTCCTTCTTTTTCCGTTTTTTCTTTTTTATAAAATTATTTTCAGGAGAAAGTTTCTTTTTGGGTAGTTCTGGTTCTTTAGGTTTTGGTGGTTCTGGTGGTTGATAAGGTGGTTCACTATCCTCAGAAAGGAATTCTTCTTCAGACTCAAGCTCAGGTTCATGAACTCTTGAAGAATTAGCTTTTGGCTGTGGCAAAGATTCTAGGATTTCTTCCTTAACTTTTGGAAAATCTTCTATTAAAGTACTAGTTTGAGGTATATCAAGGTGTTTGTACGACGGTTTTTGTTCAACAAAACTAGACTTTTCTTCTTTTTTGATTAATTTTTCTTCTTTATCTCTCTTATCTCTTTTCTTATGCTCCTTGTGACTTTTATGAGGTTTAGATGATTTTTCAGATTTTTCTATTTTTTTATCAGACTTAATTTTAATTGATTCTGGTGAACTTTTATGTTTCTTTTTTTCTTGATCATTAAATTCAGTTTTTATTTCTTGTTTAATTACTTTGGTTTCGTGATATGATTTTTCATCTTTATGAGACTTATCTTTATTTTTCTCCTTTACTTTATCTTCACGTTTGCTTTTATCTTTAAATTCTTTCTTTTCTAATTTAATGTCATTTGATTTCTCTTTAATTTTTTCATGATGAGTAGATTCTTTCTTTTCAGGTTTAGAACTACTTTGTTTGAGAGACTTTGATTTTTCAGAACTTTCTTTAGTTTTTTCTTTTTTATCTTTATCTTTTTTCACCTTATCTATAGATAATTCTTTCAACTTCTTTTTCACTTTATCTCTTTCTTTTTCTTTATCTTTCTTATCTTCTTTATGATGTGGGCTACTTTTAATTTTAACTTGTGATTTGTCTGAAGAAGATAGCTTTTGTGATGTTGATTTTGATGTAGTCAATGGTAACTTTGAAGGTTGTATTGGAGACCCAAAAAGTGTGGCAAATGTATTACTTAGTTTTATATCTTCTTTTTTATTTTTTTTTGGTGGAGGTGATGGCAATCGATTAATATTTGTAATTGATTTTTGTTTTGATATGGCAGAACTTGAATTGGAGTTTTTTGCTTCAGTTCCATCATGAGATAATACACTAGTCTAAAACATTAATGTTATCATATTTATTAATTAGGTACAAAAAAATAAAAACATTTAATCATTTATGATTTTGCTGGTTGCTGTTATTGGCTAAGCAAAAACAATAATAAAATAATAAAATAACAATTAATTAATATACTATAACAACTTTAACGGAAAGAAAAAATAGTTCAAAAACTTATTTAACTTAATAACTATTTAAGTAAAGAATAGAATTAAAAATTTAAATAATTAGACAATATAAGCTAATAACCAGAGCTCAGAAAGTTCTAACAAATGCATATTTTTTTTTTTGTTCATTATAGAATATTAAAAGTAAGACACAAATTTATTTCAAACTTTCCTAATATGGTATACAAAATGTTATGATGCTAAATTTAAATATTTATAGTGTGTTATTTTGTTTTAGAGTCTTAGTGCTATACAAGTGATCACAATTTAAGGTACCACTTAATATCTAAGCTGGTTGACCTTGTAATGAAGTTAATATTTTAGAGGACCTAAGGATATTTCTTAAATACACATTTATTTATGATTTTCAAATTTTTAACACTTTAGGTGTGTGTATGCGCAATATAGCTTATATTTTTTTTTAAAGTTTTTTTTCTATTTATAAAACGGACCAAGTTAGAGAAGTCAATATTTGAGTTTATGCATAATTTGTGTTGAACAAAATTTTTACTTAAAGCCTCAATGGAAATAATAAAATAAATGCTAAATAAATGTTTAATTTATCTTATTTATTTACAAATAATAATTTAATGATATCGTACATCATCCAGATGAATATCTTGAATATGTGATAATTTGTATTCAGTTGACTGCTATAATACAATTACAATTTTTACTATTTTTATAGTGGGATTTTATTTTTTTTTCAATATTTCCAACAAAATAATCAGGTAATGTAATTACTAAGAAATAATAAAATAAGTTTGAAGTAATTCAACATTATTTATAGTGTACAGTATTATTTTAATTTTTTTTTTGTTAATCGTAATAATAATCTACCTATAACAAAATAGTTATAACCTGCCTAATAATAGTAATATTAATATTATAATATAAAATGAAATATAATATTCAATAAATTTATCTTATCAATTGTTCAAAATTTTCAGCGTAATGTTCTAAGCATGATTCAAGTTGCCTTAAAAAATTCATTCGTAGTTGCTACCTTGATCAACCAGTCAACTAAATAAAAATTATAGCATACTCGAAATATTCATCCGGATGATGTACAATTTTATTAAATTATTATTTGTAAACAGAAAAATTAAACATTAATTTTATTATTTCCATTGGCTTTTAAGTGAAAATTATTTTTATCATTATGCATAAACTCAAATATTGACTCCTTTAACTTGGTCATTTTTATAAATAGAAAAAAACTTTAAAAAAATAAATAATTTATCTGAATAAATAAAAAAAGTGTTTCCATTTAAAAAAATATAAGCTGTATTATGCATACACACACTTTAAGTGTAAAAATGTTGAAAATCATAAATAAATGTGCATTTAAGTACCCCCTAGGCCCTCTAAAATATTCACTTCAATATAAGGTCATCCAGCTGAGATATTTAGTGGAACTTAAATTCGTAATCACACTGTACATAGGTATGTACATAATTATATGAGGTTTAGTTAAATAAACTCTAATAAACTATGCTATAAAGCAAATAGAGTTATTCCAATCCTTTCCAATAGTTTGAATGTTTTTAAAATTATATCAGATGGTATTGAACAACCATTAGATTTGATGAACAAAAATTTCAGAGCTGTACCAAATATTTTATTCCTAAATGCTTACCACTATATCTTATAAGAAATAAATAAAATTTGTAAAATTCGAAAAAATATAAACTTCTTAAAAAGAAATTCTTGTTGAGAATTCCAATTTGTATTTTTTCCAATGTTTAATGCTATTTATTAAGAAATTGGAGTTATTTTAATTAAAACGCTACAATGAACATTTTAGTACAATAACTTCTGAACCTGCTTATTAACCACTTAATTTTACAACTTAATAATAAATACTTTAAACATATTTAAAGATGTATGAAAACAATTTTAATACATGTTAACATTAAAAAAGATTAAGATCCAAAATTTACTATTTTTTTTTCAGATGTAAAGCACATTGGATAAACAAAAACATATATGTGTATATATTTATAGATCTAAAATAATTTTAGTCTTGTTATTACCCATTCAAATAAAATCTATAAAATATTTTATAGATAATTTAATATTTATAGCAAATATATAGTAATAATATAAATTAAAGGTAGGTATAAGAATTTTACTTACTCCTCCGCCTTTGATAAGCTTTCGCCTGAAATCTTCTGAAGGGCTAAATACATAGGTTTCTCTAGTCACTTTGGACATAGGTGGTAAACCACGTTCTTGAAGTATCAATTCATAATTAAATCTAATTTTTCTTGGTTCATCTTTATTTTTTACATGGATGTCAATAGGTAACGGAAAACCAGCATATCCTGATTCTTTCACGACATATGGTGGTTCCTTAACCACTGAAAAATAATTTCAAACAATTATTAACAAATATTATTTAATCATTAAAATTATTGATTTCTATCAATAAAATAATTTGGACACCATTCAATTAGTGTGTGATATTACATATTTTAAAATATAACTAATGTATTTTAAAATTTTAAGAGTACGTCAATTAATTTATTATCTTTAGATAGATTAAATAATGTATGATTTAAAAATAAAAAACAGTTTTAAAGAAATTTTTTGAAAAAAAAATATATTTATTCTTATGGTTTATTTGGTTATATTATAACAGAATAGATAGTATTACAATTATTTAAATAATATTTTTACTCATTAAATTTTATTTATGTTTGATTATGTAAAAGTATAAATTATATTATTGTTATATTAAGTTGAAATGCTGTTTATTTGAATAATAATAATGATCAGCGTGTTAGTACTTGTTTGATGTTATTTTAATAAATCAGTAAAATAATAAATTAATGACTGACTTTCCACTTTATGAGTACAAAGTAATATAGATCACAATTTATATCGTTGAGGAATGCCAAAGTACAAGATTTGAAAATGAACTATTAGCACTGTATGATTGTGGATTAACTAACCATTAAACAAAAATAATATATGTTATCCTATTATTTTTTTTATTTCATCTTATATTTTATAAATCTACTTATCAATATAGTTAAATTTAAATTTAAATACGTTGTTGTAATTTTTATGCCAAGTAACATATGCATAAATAACTAAATAATTTTTAATACTTATTAGTTATTTAAAATACTGATTGAATTAGTCATTTCCAATATAACGTGTACGTACATATAGCAACGGATAGGCAAGGTATCAGCCTACTGAATAATAAGATTTCTAAAATTTCATTACAGCTATTATATAGTTTATAATTAAATTAGATTGTCTATTTGTGTTAATTTATCATTGTTATATAAAATATTATATAAAAAAATAAAATTTATTACTAAACATTTATAACCAGCCCATATTATAAACGGCCCCACCTAGATTTTCTCAGTAGCTTCCTGGCCTATCCAGGCCTGTGTAAATATTTTAATTAAATTATGACATTAAAGTATTTTACTTACAAAAACAAGTTATTAAATTTTAACATAATTATAATTTTATTATACATATTATTTATTTGAAGAAATGTTTAAAATCTATTTTAACAGCATACTTATGGTAAAATCTTCCAATATTTGAGTTTTTTAATAATAAAATGTAATAGAATACATAAAATGATTTAAAGCAATAATCTATTTAAGACTAAAATATTAATTTAAAGAAAACTTGCCTCTTTTTGGGTTTGGAAATGTGTCATGTAAATGGAACACAACCTTGTCGATAAAGAAATGTATATCTGTATTGTCAGCACCACGAACAAACAATTCCCAGTCATGAGTGAACCCTTCTGGTGTTCGTTTGTTTCTAACAGACGCCTCATGACCAATTTCAAATATCACTTTAACGTACTATAAAAAAAAATATATATAAATTGAAGAAAATGTATGAAATCCATAAGTTTAACACTTGCACCATTTTAATATGCAATTAGTTGTTGCCTTTGATAACTACGACTGACTTTGTAGTATCAGGCCATTGGTTCAGTGCACACAATAATAGTGAAGACAGACAGCATCTACACCACTGCCAATAGTAAACAATTTGCTATATAAGATTGAGTAAATTAACCCACTACCTGTAGAGAGCGAAAAACTCGACAAGGTGAAGAAGGTTGGAAAGGAATACTCACTGGAAATGCCATCATGGACTCATCATCTGGAATCATCTGGAATCATCGTAACCGTACCAGCGGGTGGTTATATGAAAAATTCTAATGATTTTTGGTGTTCGAGGAGATCCACAGTAATCCGGTTAGCAACAGCAAACGTCGGCCGGTCTTTTGTAAAATTAATATTAAAGGACGAAGACAATATTAATATAACTTTTTCGCTCTAGAACAGATCGAATAATCGAAAATCCAAACGACAGACGAGCGCGTATAAGATAACAGACGTCGTAATATTATATTATTATCTACTTTCCAAATAAAAACACTCTTCCTGCACGCACGCACGTAAATAAATCAAAAACGAAAACAACAAACAGCTGACTGTTCAGTCGGGCCACAATTCGCACAATTACCCGGGAAAAGACCGACACGATAATTGTAATTTATTTTACTTGTATTTGATCTTTTCTAAAACTATGCTCTTATTAATTTAAATTAGATTTTTATTATATATTTATATGTCCATTATGTCCAATATCTGTTGTCTAGTGTCTGCTAGTTAGTAGTAACTACTACTACTTCTATTAATAATAATATTTATTTCAATAACTAAAAATACTATATAATAATAATTAACATTTTATTGGAATTTCGTCGAACACGTATAACATTTACTTTTTAATTACCTTTTAAGGTAACGTTTTTATAGCTTTAGTCTTTGAAATAGTCGAAAACTAGCTGCCATTGGTAAAAATTACTCTGTCTCTGTAGTCCATACTCTAACACTCAGTGGACTATGGACTATGGAGTGTGAAGTGAGGGGCTGTTAGCTGTAGCCCATAGACATATAAAATATATTAATTTAATATATATTGTTTTATATGTCTATGCTGTAGCCTGTATTATATTGACGACGAAGACTATTATAAATTATAATATTATAGTGTACGGCGAGTTCCAAACCACAGTTGAATGTATGTCCTTCCCATACATATCATAACCGTGGTAATAGTAAGTTAGTGTTATACAAATCTATGACCACGGTCTTATATACTTGTAATTCATTTTTGGTTATACTTAGTTATGTTATTACTTAATAGTTAATACCTAATACTTGTTTGTTTTGTTTCCTCAGTAGACATTACTACGTTAGACAATAAGTAATAACTCAATGCCCAATGGCCAATTGCCAATACCTTGTGGGCTGTGGTTTGTGAATTGTTGATTGAAGTCAAATTCCTGACATTCTCCGAGATTTAGATAATTTCTATATTATACCTGCAATTTATTATTTATACCGCCGTTTGCTGATCAAGATTTTTTTACTAACTACTAACCAGACGTAGTTAACTAGTGAGTACCTACTGGCTACTGCTTGTTTACCTATAAAATATTTTTCGTAAATACACTTTACAGTCATTAATTTTAAATCTTAATCGTGAACATTTTTTATTAGTATTAATAATCTTCAAAAAATTATTAAGTTTCAATGTAAATCATGATATTGAATAATAACTTATACTAAATTAAGAAGTTATTATTAATTCTATTGTATAATTCTGTTCACAACTTCCGTAATTTTCTAACTTTCTAACGTGATTAAGTTTAGTATCGTATTAATTGCTATTAACAGTTACACATAGTACATATTACTACCACTATGCCACTGTTTGTAATATAAAATTAAAATACTAAAACGTTATTTAGTATTAATTTGTTGTGTGTCTAGTCTTAAGATAGGTGTCTGTACGTCGTGCGTCAACTATCGTTTGTACTGTGCAACAATTTTTATATCGCAGCTAATCTTAGTTAACGCTGTCGTATTGACACCTCTCATACATACGATAAGTTTGCTGTCAAATTCACTATTGCCAATTTGTAAAAGACTTCTGGTAACATATCATCCATTTGCACGCTGATGATGTCTGAAACCAACATCTCTAGCTCCAGAGAAGAAAATACAAATATTGAATCCATGTCAAATTTATGTGAAAGTGATGATCAGCAACAGGTACCTGTAATACTTATTTTTTTATCGCTTCATCCCTGTGGTGCATTTAAAAATCTAAATAGCACGGGATTAATATTTAAACAAATCAAACTACAAATATTTTTTTGTTTAAGCATAATTCATACTTATAAAAAAGATTTAATAGATTATAATGAAATATCTAACTGCTCTATCTGTCTCCATAAATATATATTGTAAATATATATATATATTATCTATTTAATAGTATATACTTGATCTTTTGATAATGTATTGATTGTTTTATTTAGACTACAATTTCTACTGAAAATGTAACTGTGAAATTTGAAAATCAAAACACTGAAGCAACTTCTGAGGATGGATATATAACATATGGTAAATTTAAACATTTTTCAATTAACTTTTCCTCATGACAATTTATCATTATCAATGTTTATACTTTTTAGAGTTAGATGAAGATGGATGTATTGATGAAGATTTACCTGACGGATGGATAAAATGTAAACATGACAGTGGGATGCCAGTTTATTTAAACGAAGAAATGAAAGTTTGTTCATTTTCTAAACCATATTTTCTTGGAGTTAATAGCCTCAAAGTAAGGACTAATATTTTAAAATAATATTATATATATAAACAAATTTAATGTATTCTTTAATTTTTATAGAACCATAAAATTCCAGTGGCAAATATTCCTTGTTTAGATTATAAACTAAAATTAGAAAAAATGAATGCAGAAAGTAATGAAGAGTTGAACAGTAATACTTATATTAAATATCTATTATACTGAGTCTTATTTATGATCTTTTAAATTGTTTTTTAGAATGCCCTATAACATTAACCCATGAACAGTATAGAGAATATTGTAGCAAAATATTCAAATTCAAAAATATTAAATTTATGAGATTTAGGTAAAGAAATTATTTTATTATTTAAACTGCAAAATGTTAGTAATAATTATATATCATGTTTAGTTCTTGGGATAAACGACGTGAATATATTAGAATGGTAAAAGCTGATCGAAGACGTAAAGATCTTCCAAAATTAAAAGACAAGTCTCATTTAATGTCATTTCCAGTTCAAGAACCAGATGGTAAGTAAATCAAAATACATAATTATTTTTACTATTTATTACAAATATAACTAAATTCCTGATATATCTATGTATTAGATTCTTGTAGAATTATTTGATTACTTATTAACTTGTAAAGTGTATTTGCATGCCTCTATCTAAAACTTATAAGTTCTGTTGATAATCACTATGTAATTTTTTTAAATTATTTGTATGGTAGATCAATCTTTTACATTACAATAATTGTTAAAGCTATATTAGATTTTCATAGTCTCTTCTCCATTTTTTATAATAAATTTCTTATCATGTATAACTTATAGATTTTCTTTCATTTCTTTCCCTAATAAAATTTAAATTTTTTTTCTCATTCAAATAGTTCTATTTTTTTTTTTTTTTTTACATTTTACTATACTGATTATGGTATTATGGTAGAAATAGTCTTATTTACCATATTAAAGCATTCTTGGAGGGGGGGGGGGGGGGGTAAACTGTGTTTGTAAAAAAGTCATGCTTTTAGAAAAAAACGTGACTCAATCAATACAGACTTTTATTATTTGTGTTCAATTGTTTTTATTTGTTATCAATTCTTTGTAACTAATAATACATACCATGGATATTTTATTTCTTCATATCTATGAAATATTGGTCGCTTGATTTAAAAATTTATTGTGCCTCCTTGATCATCAAAATTTGAACACAGTTATGATTCACTGTCTGATACTTTTAAATAATGTGTAAGCATTTTAACTTCTCTTAATTTGTTAATAGTATTATTTTTTATTTACTTTATTACCATGATTTATTGTATTATCTATCATAAAATACTCCACGCTGTTCTATGGGATACAAATCCCATCATATTATATAAATATATAATATTATCTTGAATTTACATCTATGAATCTTCTAACCATTATGCTAAAAATAAAATAAATAATTATTTTTATTCTTAATTGAAGTTCTGTAACTACAAATAATATTTGTAGTAAATAATTATTAGTTACACTTAACATTGTTTTTGTTTTTAGACTGATTGATTATGTTAAATGTAAAATAATGACTTCACTGCCAAGTGCTTGATAATCAATAATCTTAATTGTATACATGCAATGCGCTTGTCATGTAGCCTGTAGGAAAAAATCATTAAGGTTAATTCCCCATGAGTCAAGTTTATAAAGTATTTTTACATTGAATACTTCTATTAGTTATCATATCATAAGTATGTTTTATAAAACTGATGTTTTTGTACAAAATTCCTTCCCTACTAATCTTATGACAAATCTGAAATATTTAGACCGAGTTTGCATAATATATGTCAATTATATTACGTTAATTTATTATTCTGTTGTATAATAAATAATAATAAAATTATGATTTTGTATAGTTTGTATGATAGTGTTAAATTAATATATTTCAGTTAAAAGTGATTGTAATACATCCAATCCTGATGATCAGTGGACTATTAATCTAAATGGTAAAAGTTATGTTAGCATATTGCACGAATACATTCAACGTGTACTCAAAACACAGCCATCATATGAGTTTAAAGAACTTGGTTGGTAAAAAATACTAAATTATAAATTTCATAAATGTAAATCATTAACTGTATGTTGTTATGTTTTAGAGAATGCTAGGTATCCTTATTTAGCCACAGTAATTTTAGATGGCATGCAATATGGTATCGGTATTGGTTCAAGTAAAAAACAAGCTAAACTTGATGCTGCTAGAGCTACACTAGAAATATTGTTACCATCTGTCAAAAACCATATCCAAATTAACCGTAGACATGCAATGAATGAACGTCAAGGTTGTAGTAATTTTGATGGAGATGTAGTAAGTACATTTAAATCTATTAACTAGTATCAGTAATTTACTAAGTTATCAGTTAATTCTTACATCACAATATTTTAGCTTTTTGATAAACTAAACATTAAAGACTCTAGAATACCAGAATTTTGTGCCCAAGCTGCTGAATCTATGCCATATGATATGTTGCAAATTTGTGTTAAAAGGTATTTTTCTATTTTTTAAATTAACTACCTTGTTAATATTTATTTGGATTTGATGAACTATAGAAATTTTGGTGAAGATGCAAATGTAAAGTGTGAAATGCAAAGTATGCAAAGTGGATCTGATTCTGAGATATTTTACCGTTGTACCATGACTGTCAAGGAACATTCTGCCACTGTTATTTGTAAAAATAAACGTGAAGGACGCCAAAAAGGAGCTCAAGCTTTATTGAAGGTTTAAAAATACTCTTAAGAATATTTAAAAATTAGATATGTACTAAATTTGTCTTATATATACATATATATAGGTACTACACCCTCATATTAAATATTTTGGGTCTTTATTAAGATTGTATAGCCATCAAAACGTTGGAAGTGGCTGTGAAAAAAAATTAGATGAACCTGGAAATCAAAGCCCAAAGCCTAGGAGTGGTCCAAATTATGAAATACTAAAAAAACTGAGAGCAGAAATGTCCAAATTATAATTAAGTAATAGAAATAAATGTTAAATTAACAAACATAGTTTAGTTATGCCAAAAAATAATTTTAGTGTAGAATTTGATGTATTTTTAATTCTCTTATTTTAAATCGATAAACTTTAATACAATTATGCATTCATTTTATTTTATTTATTTTTTATAAACTACATTTAACAAATCTCAAATTAATTTCATAGTTAACATTTTTGTTCTTTAGTTGTAGATCTAAACTTGTGGTGTTTTAAAATTATAATCAATTATGTAAAATAATCAGTCCTTCTAAAGTGTCAGATTTACCACTGTGCAGATACTTAATCATTTGCCACTAAGTCATTATCTTAAAGCAACAAGTTATAAATGAAATGTATTAATTTTATTCTTACTATAAAATAATAACTAGCTATACATTTCACTTATTGTTTAGTTTTTTTTTCCTTTTAATCATTAAATTGAGTGCCATGTTTTTTTTATTTATTTTGTATTATTATTATTTTGACCTAAATTATAACTGTAAATATCTTTGGTTTGAATTAAATAAATATGAATACAATAAGTGTATGACTACTCGACTACTAAATTTATTTTAATACAAGTCTTTTAAATCACTGTTACATTAGAAAAATTTATGTAAAAATCAAATGCCTATCTTAAAACCTAAACATCTCTAATAACACTAACCAATGATAGGAACTTTGATTTCTAATGAACATAAGAAAATTTAGAATACTGAAGCTGTTATGAGTTATAAGTACTATAGAAATTTAAAATACCTAATTTTAAATTATCAAATTCTAAAAATGAATTCTCAAATTGTTTTCAAAAAACTATTCTTGCATAACTTTAAAATACAATGAAAGTATTGTAGCTTACAAATGTACTGCCAACATTTCAAAAAAATTATCTAGTGTGATAGTGTGAATGAAATTAATAAATCTATAAAGATAATGTACAATAAATCCAATACATTCTATTAGTTTAAATTTATATTTAGAAGTTATAACTGCCAATGGCAATACTAATAGATTGTATACCTTTAATCTTATCTATTGTGCTTAAATAAAATTTTATACTTAAGTATTACTAAAAAATAGAATTGAAAATCCAAACATTAGATTTGTATTTAGTGACAAAATTAATGATTTAATAATTTTTTATTAATAGTGAGTTCTCTTCAAATTTAATAATAATATTACCCCATCTACTAGATAACAAACTAGAAGTAAATAAACTGTTGGCTTACCTAAAAGATATGATTTATAAATAATTTTAAATTTTTGTTGTATTCTGTTTTATAATTTCATAAAAAGGTATAAAAATAGTACAATGTAGGAATGAGATAAAAAACAACTAGAAGATTTTTCAAAACAAGTACAAGTATTAAACACTTAGTTCAATTTTTATAATAATCAAACACTGTATGTAATGTAATACTGATTGCAATTTGGTTGGTATTAAATTATTTTTTATTATCTATAATATATTATCAAAAATCTGCATACAATATACATCATAACAATTTAATGCTATATTTATAATACATCACTTTCAGTTCATGATAAACATAAATGTTTATTTTTTACACTTGAAAGGATTATATTTTGTTAGTTTAAATTTGAATGTCAGAAATCAAAATTTTTATTTTTGTCAATCTAAGTTAACTACACTATTTTTATAAACATAAAATATATTACACTAATATTTTGTTGGTAACATTTATTGGTTTAAAAATTATTATTTTATTTTACATTCTTATGAAATGTTATATTCAAATATAGATTACACAATAAAATACATAAAACAAAAAAACAATTTAACATTCATTCAAGTATTAAAAATATCTTGACAGTTATAACTTATATAAAGATAATAAATAAATACCTTTATTTCATGGTACTTATCTATAGTTCTGGCACAGATTTCAATTCATGGCTATAATTTGATGATGTTTTCATTGCTAAAGTTATACCACTTTTATAATTAGCCGGTATGACAATATGATTAGTAAATTTGACATTTTCTTTTTCTTCACGTAAAAGATTTACCACTTGTCCTGAAAAAATAGTTATAGTGAGTTATTTCTGATGACGAAAACAGAAATTATCCAAGTATAAATACCTAACACATTAAATCTATGCCAATGTCGACTAGGATGTGTGGCCAAAGACATGAGATCTGTTTGAGGGGTCCACCTGGACAATATATCAGCTCTTTTAATCATCAATGAAGATGGAGAAAATAATTGTGGAATTAACGACTCCATGCATGATACGCTCAGTGGATTTGTTAAGTAAATTTGAGCAAATTCTGGACGTAAGGGATTGTACGATACTCCATAGACCATTTGATGGTGCCAACTATCTGGCACAAGAGAAGGTGGCACATTTGCACGTTGGAGGTTTAATGTCAATATGGGAACAGCACCTATAATAAATTTATAAATAATATAAAATCATAAAATTATAGTGGGCATTTCTAGTTATCTAACTACCTTTTTTTATCCAAGTTGCAAGCCATGGAGCTAGAGGTAAATCCAAATATTGATTAGTAGCAAAAAACCTAGCACTGACTTGTGAATCTGTTGCAGTTTCCAAAGTTCTAACTAAATCTTGGGGCATGCAACCAGCTACAGCTCGAGATTCCAAATAGGGAACAAGTGCAGCAGTCTCATTACGTAAACGGGTACCAATAATCTGAACTATACGGTCTAAGTTGAATTGTGTTCTTAGAGCCAACTAAAATATATTTACAATAAAATAATTCATACAATAGGATAAAATGAATAGAAAATTACAATTAAATTGTCATGTTATAAGAAGTATAGGGCATTTATTAATATATAGTAACACATTTATTTTAAAATCTTAATTATTTCAAATAATAATAATAATAATAATATTTTTTCTTAATTATTAAGTTCAAAATAACAATTTATTCTACATTGAAAATTGTCAAACGTATTAATCAAACATTTAATAAACTTGCAAAAACCACTAAAAAAACTTCAATTTTTCTCATTAATAAAATTGCTTTTTATTCTCCCTCTCAAAATATACAATTATCTAAAAACAATTTGGTCGATTAGCAGCATTGTACATACTACACTCTGGCAACTCTGGCTAACCTGGCACTCTGTTAGTTTTCACTTTGCAAAATGATATGTTATTAGGAAAACTATTTTAAGTACTTACCAAAAAAACGCTAAATTTTTATCATTACTTAATTTTTTATTTTTTAACTCTTAAATATAAGAGTCATAAGAAACATTAATGTTAAAATGTTTTGCAAGCAGTAAGATTAACTTAAATAAGTCACACATTTTATAATACTACCTTGACCAAAATAAATTGTTATTATTTGCATAAGCTAAAATATTTCTTACACCCCCAATTATATCTTTGTGTATGGCAAGAATGCATATAAATAAAAGCTAATAATATTTAAAATAATTTCAATTAAAAATATGTCATGTTATGTTATTCAGTATAAAATTTACTCCAATTATAAACTATTTAAATTGCTAAACTTACTAGAGTATTTACAACTGCAGTTGCCCCACACGCTGATACACCAATTTGGTTTACTTGAAGCTGAGCTGCCTCTTTTTCTGACCATACCATTTCTTTAATCCAAGTTAAATCATCAACACGCATTCTTTTCATTTTTTGACATACCTCCTGATGAAAAATATTTAACATTAATAAAAAATAATCATTATATGAATTAGGTACTAAACATTTTGTTTTACCGTTGTATCAGAATTGCGTCTCATACATCCATTACGTTCTTCTTTACTAACAGGGAGATTAGTATTAAGAGCCCTTAAATGCAAAGTGGGTACATTTGAATTTGATATTGGTAATCGAGGGATTGGATTTGAATTAGTTGGCTCACGCATCACACTATTTGTAATATTAAGATGGTTTTCTTGTAAATTTGGACCTATATCGGAATAAGCAGTCAATAGGTCTTTTATTAGCTGCATTGTACCACTGATGAACAAAAAAAAAAAAAGTAATAATTATTTTTTATTTATCTATAAATAACTTTCAATATAATATAAAGCCAATTACATAAGCATATGGCATGTAACATAAAAAACTTTTTTTTAAAAATATACTTTGCATTATTGGCCATTGGTTCAGTACTCTCTTCATCTTCAGATACATTGTTAACAGTAGGTTCAGGTTCAAAGTCCATTTCTAAGTAATCCATCAAAGGCGATGTACTTCTATCATCTATGGGTAAATTTTCAACTGCCGGCTCTTGCCGATCACCACGATAAGTGTAAATACAAGAATCGTTATCTGAATCACTATCTTCTTGGTCACAATGTACCAAACTAGCAGCAATCATGTGGTCATGTTGTTCGGGGGTATCACAATCAAGACAACTTTCAGTATTAGGACCATCATGGCTGTGAGCTACATTGTTATTTAATCTAGAACGATACCAAAGCACATTTTTAAATGGTTATTAATGAATTTTAAATTTATCACTCAGTTACCTAGACGATTCTTTTTGATCAGATAGCACTCCACGGCTTGAGCCAGGTCGGTGTAATTCTTCGTCGCTGTTGTTCATGTTTACTATCAAGCGTATCTACGCCACTATGGCACGTCTTGCTTGGCCGTTCTGGCCGATAGCGAACCGAACATTATGCAGTAATAATATTTACAAACAATAATAATTGCTATAATTGTGACCTCCTGTTTATAGTTGTAATTAAATTACATTTCGTCCAGGAATATTGTTAACCATGCGTATCTTAGTATTCATAGACGATCGACGACACATAAACGAAGTGCAATAGTGCGTAGTATATAGAATTGTATATAACACTAAAACATTATGATCTTATAAATTAATACATATTTTTTTATACTATATTTGTAATTTATATCTTATAAGTTATAAACATTAAATATTAACAATAACAACAATCTTAAGAGACTTTGATAACGATGTCTGATCATTGATCAACTCTTGATAGTTGATATCTAAAGCCACGGCCAATAATAAATTTATCTCGTTTATGAGTTTACGACTCGTTGACCGTTGAGCCATAAACTATTATGACAAAATATTGTGATTTTTCACACTTTGTAGCTAAACTCGACTATAATAATTATATCTTAAATCGTGATGTTAACAATTAGCCAGATCGGTTTTAGTATTTTGGGGAATTAAGTCTGTACGCTACATCACGTTTTAAATATTTTTATTTGTATTAATATCCAGTAATCAAATTTGATAGTGATCAAAATTATAAGAAAAAAATTAATGTAAAAATATTATATAAACAAAATTTAATATAATTTGACATTTTGGGCAATTCAGCATTACAGCTTAAAAATACAAAATTATAAAACAGCTTTAAAAATTGAGTCTCAGTTGCAGTGACGACACACATGAGCAAACAAAATTCCCTGGATCATCTCATCGTGGTTGGCAGCGCTGTAGACCATCACGATAAAGTAGGAGACCCGCTAAAAACGAATGAGAATTGAATTTTCCGGTTCACATCACGCGCGCGGGCCGCCGACACGTTCGAGTTCATCACCGTTCCCCAACCGACGATTGTGAAGTCTGCACGGTCTTCCTGGTCTCAGTCTCGCGCCGCACACATTTCCCAGTCGATGCGTGTTCTCTTCTCGCGTTGACTATGATATTTTTTCAGTGCACCGACAATTGGTTCCTCAGCTTCCTGTGTTTGTGCGGTTGTCTGTAGTGACAATATTATTGTTATAACTTTACACGGCCACAGATGACCGATCTATGACATTTGCAGCTAACAAATTAAGTTTATAATACATTTTTTCGTGGAATTTTTTGACCTCACTGCAACCGACAATAAACCGTGGATTGTGTACCTACCTACAACGGGTGAGTTTTCATATGGACATCTATTTCAGCGGTATTAATGTGTATATACTTAAGTCATATACTATATTAAATATTGGTAGCTTATTAAAGTCAGTTATGGGGCACTTAAATACAATTTTTGTTTAAAAAATTACTGTATTTAATTTACTAGAGTGATTTTTTATTTTTAAATCGTTTTATAACATAACATTTTATGTACCTATACCAATATAATAATATATGAATTATCTTTTTTTAAGTTTAAAATTGAACATTTTACGAAATACAATAAAAAAATTTATCAATAAATTATAATTTTTAAAGTATATAATAGATACCTACATTATACCAAAATTAGTATTTATTTGTCCCAAATGACGAATTTACTAAATTTTAGACTTAGGATGGTTGTAATTAATAAAGTAGGTATATCTACTGATCAAACTTAATGATTTGACAGTTATAAGTTTCATGCAAGAATACAAAAATTACCAGAATCTATTAAAAGTAATAGAGATCAATTTTTATAAACAAAATATATAGTTCTTGTAACTTGCTATTAATACAAATACTGTAATTGCGTGACTAAGATTTTTTAAATTGTACCAAAAAAAAGTACCATGTTTTTAATTTATTTTTCGATTCCATTTTACCGATCCTTAAACTAGTAATCACTAATCATTATTAACAAACTATCTATACAACAACTTAAATACTAAAATACACCAGCATATATATATTTATGTATCACATATTTCCGTTATAGTTATGGTTATAGGTACATAACAAATATTCCGCAAATAAAGTTTTGCCAAAAAGTTTTTAAGTTTTTAAGTTTTTAAGTTTTTAAGTTTTTTATCTAAATAAAAACCGTCAAGTATTTAGTATCTACTAATATATTTTATAAATATATATTGTATTAATTATACTATTAGATATTTATACATTTATAGTTTATGGCGTTTATGCATCACATTTGTATTTACACTAAATCGTTATCGTCTGCAAGCGATGCATAATTATTTCACCGTGACGAGTCAAAATGCTATGAATATATTATTTGTCGTTTTACTTGTGTATATATTATATGTTTAATTTAAACATGAAGTTGTTACAAAGTAATACTCATAATATTTAAAATAATCAAAAAATATATTTACTTATGGAAAAACACTATAGGGTTGTGCTGTTGTCAAATTTTATTTATTAAAAGATAATAAATAAATAAATTTATTAGTATGTAGGTATTAGGTATTTTTAACTTTTGTAGAGTATATTTTGTTTAGATATATTGAAGTTGACATATACACTCAAATTGAACAGACTATATATTCAGAATGTTAGAATGATAAATTAATAAATTTAAAGCATTGAATATTAATTATTAAGAAGCCTACCCATACAATACATATTTTAAATTAGTAAATAATATTGTATCTAAATTACTTATAAAATAATATATTATATATTTTCTCATTCAAATTACTATTGTAATAAGATATCAATTTCTGAACAATAAATATTAATTATGTGATGTATATTAGGTAATAATTTTAATATTTCATTGCTATAAAAACGATATCACTGAAGTAACCTAACTAAACTAATAAATTACTATATTACACTAAATAAACTTGAAATACAAAATCATTATTAAATATGCAGATTTACGAAATTAATTAGGCTTAAAAGGTTCAATCACAAAAATAATATCAATAGGTAGATATGCAATATAGCTAGGGCTATAAAGGGCATGGTGTAGCGTGATTTTTGGACTTTATATTTAACAAATAAATTATACATCCCCCAGAACAAAATCATAACTATATACTTTACTGATACCTACTATTATATCAATATTTAAAAGAAACAATGAAATTTTATTTTTTAAAGTAATTTAAATAGTTAATTTAGTTATAGTCAATATTATAAAATTTGTACTATATAAATCTAGGCATTGATATATTTTAATTTTTATCTATGGAATTATTATTTAATTTTAATAATAACACAAAAGTGTATAATTAGTCTTATACTTAATCACATATTATTAAAAAAAAAAAAAATTAAAAAAATACCTTGAGCGATTTATATGTTTAAACTTATTACTTATCTATTTACACACACACACACACACACACACACACATATATATATATTTACTATGTTTCTCGTTATTTAATTTATTTTTCAACCTAAATAACAACCTTAACCTAAAAAAAACATAAAGACGAATTTTTATGAAAATATTTTTAAAGTAGAATCATATTTTATCTAAAATTATTTTTTAAATATAGATAGGTAATATTATATAAACATATTTAATTATTTTATTGATTACTAAAATATAATAAAAAATATTATTAATAACCATAAAGTAAAGTGACCAGTGCCAATATATTATATTATGTGATTATAATATAATTCAGATAGATATACGTGTTACAAGAAAAATTATTAGATAATGACCTTCATTTATAGTAGGTATCTATATAAATACTAAACAATTTATTTTTAATTAATAAAATAAAACTGTAGGTCACATTGATCATATTGTTTTCAATTATATTGATTTTACAAACAAATCTTAAAATGTATTGTGAATAGATATTTTTAGTTTTTTGTTTATGTGATTTTTATGAAATATGTCAAAATTCTAACTTTAAACTTTAAACGTTTATAAAAAAATATTGTGACTATAAACTTAAACAATTAAAAATATCTCATGCCTATAAATAACTAAAAAAATTTCGGATTATTTTGTAAATCTGATTATAAATAGAAAATTATAGTATAAACATTTTTTTAAAATTGCAAATATCTACAGTTATTCGTTTTTAATTTGTATTTACCTATACCTAACCTCGATTTTGTTGATTTGTGTAAAAATTTCCGTTTTTCCTTAATTTTTTTTTTTTGTTTCTTCAGATTATAAAAATTTTTTAATTTTTAATTTTTACCTATACAAAGTACAAACTAAAACCAATTTTCTAACAAACCCACCTTCAAAGTTGAAAATTAAAGCATTTTATCAACTACTTATTGTGTACTCATAAACACACACAAATAAAGCACATATTATTGTAATTAAATCAAGAAGAAGAAGAAGAAGTTAATTCAATATATTCATATCTATCCACTTAGAATCTAAAATGTATCTAGTTTATAGTAACAATTTAACGTTCTGGAAATAAATTTGTAAATTTAACATGCCCTGTAAACTGTAGTATATATTTTATGGCTATATATAACGTATAAATTATAAATTATTATGATAATAGTGTTCATAAGATATTGAACCAAGATTTATAAACATGAGCGGGTGTGACCCACAGACCGTAAATGGTCAGCGTTTCCACTCGGTTGGGTTCATCTGCCCAGTATATGTAGGCTCTGAAAAACGTTAATGATTTTCCACTTAAAGCACCCACGTATACGTTTAAGAAAACTAAACCGGGTTACTGTTACATCGGAACAACAAATGCCAATTTAGGCACCTGCATAATTTCAATAAACTTGTATTATTTTACTTGTGCCACGGTCAGATGATGTGTAATTAATATATTGCGGTTTTGTTTCCGAAACAGCTATTTCTAATGTTCAGTGCTTTTGGTTTTTTTCTTAATCGCAAGATATAATTAAAAATATATTCCGTTAGATCAATTCGTCACATCTATAAAATTGGATAGGTGACATCGCGTATAATATAACATATCTCATTTTTAAAATAATGACTTGCGTATGATATAACCTAAAAAATAATAAATAATTTAGAAAAAAAATTTAAATTATATTATTTTTAATATATTTGTAGGTTTTTTAGCGTTTTCATTTTACAGTTATAAGTAATACTCGTATATTAAAATACATGTACTATACAGTGTTTTCTTTTAAAGTAAAGATGAAATATTTCAGTCCAGTGATCTTAGATTTTCAAAAACCAATACAGAATACAGAAATACACATTTTGTTGTTGATGATTTTCAAGTGTTAAATTTTTTTAGTGAGCTTATGTGCAGTAATACTTGCATTTTTAAAATAGCTATAGTTGTTTTTAATACCGATTTTTTTAAATTCGTACACCTTGATCATTTGTCAATTTGTTACTAATAAAAACTGGCTGTAAGCCTGCAAATCTTGTGTCGAATTTGTTTTATTCATATAGACTAAATAATTTTAGGACTTATTTATTTATAACTTAGTTTCTTTATTTTTACCATAACATTATAAATTATATTATTGTTACTTTTATTGAAGTGAATAAAATCTGTCCGAGATTACAAAGAATGGAAAAGTAATAAGTATGCCCTGATGATAGTTACTTTAACACATGTTTTCAGTAAACATTCCTAACTATTTGTAATACCTAAGTGTAAAACAATAAACATTTTTCTTTCGTCAATAATATTCTGTCTGTTTCATTAAATAAGAAAACTTTTTCGCTAAGTGACTTAAAATTTTGCTACATACTCGTAATATATTTATTGAATATTATCATTATATATATAATATATATAAGTACCTTTCTATATATTATTTGTCCAGTGGTATTGTAATAAGTATTTATGGTTTACAGACCACAATATTTTCTTGGCCAAAAAAACTATTTTTTTGGTTTTATGTTTAATAACTGTTGTTATATATTCGTATGGCTTTTACTTTCATGATAATTGATCATTTACACGTCTTATTATTCCAATTGAGAAATAAATTAGAATGATTAACTTGCAGTATTTGTTATATTTGGTATAGTTCTGAAAAAAAAAAATGAAACGTCTATCGATAAAACTGTTGATGTGTGTATCGTTTACGTGCGCTCTGCTTTCCAAAAATCAACCAGCTGTAAACGTTTGTAAAAGAAGTAGAGATGAGCATTGTGATTATTTACAAACCGTATCCTTATCCGGGCGCAAGAGTCTACTAAAAGTAGCACTTCATTTACAAGTTCGAATTTTCTTCTTGTTTACTTATATAGTGCTTCTTTTAATCTTTTTTACTATAATTTTATAATTAATGACTTA